GAGAGTCTAGACTAGTGTTCTTTATGTTGTTTCAAGAACTTACTTTTCCATGATAATGAAGCTGCAGCTCAACTCATGCTGCCCAAGAGAGAGGAGCAGGCAAAACCACTGTGAGGAACATAAACTGATAAACACTTAGAGGAATGGGTCTTTAGAATTTTAAGGTTGAGTCCACATGATGAAAGTTAGGGTCCCTTATTTTCCTCCCGCAAACCTCTCCACTATACTGCTATTGTAATTTTAGTAAGCTGTTTCTCTCAACTCTCAGTTTTTCAGCTCTAAAATGGGAACACTATTATAGTCAAGTCACAGCTGTATATGCATACAGTATTCACACAGGTCATGTAATTGTCTATTCACCCCCAAACAATCAGATACACCAAGGCCTCCAATTGTATTAACCTGCAGATATATATGTGTGGAATTTCAAGCAAAACATAATTAGAAGGGTAAAGCTGATGCAGAAATATCACTTTAAGGCAACTAATAAATGATGTTATTATCACCTGCTGAGGAAGCCCTGATAGCATAGTGCCTAAGGCACCTGACTGCTAACCAGAAGGCTGGCGGTTCAAACCCACCAGCCACTCCTCGGAAGAAAGGTTGGGCAGTCTACTTCCATAGTGATACCATCTCAGAAACCCAAGGAGGGGTTGCTATGAGTCAGTCTGACTCGATGGCACATAACAACAACAACAACAACATCACTTGCTGGTTTGTATTGTGGCTATCATTACTCTCTGTCATTATATATATCAATCCAGAGATAAATGCACTTTCTACATGATCAGCTGGAGTTAGAAGGATAAGAAAGAGTCAACAGAAAAATCTGGGACCCTTTAAGGAAAGTGACAATGGGCATGGTCAGTGCTATTTACTGCGTATGGATTATGAAGTTTAAACGGGTAACTAAAATTCTTTCTATTCAAAAGATAATTAGTGGTTTATTTCTGTGCCACAGCCTTGTTTTCCTTCATCCTTCCATTCTTCTTTCCTTCCATTTTTTTTTTTTTAAAGGAATAATGAGAGGGTAACTAGCCTTTCTGGCAATTCCATGTTGCTTCCTAACAATTTAGCTTAATTACTTAAAAACTGAGTAACAAAAGCCCTTTGCATTTTTCTAATTAGCTTCAATCTTTATGGAGTATAAATATATTCTTAACACTACAAGGCAGCAAATTAAACCTCATTGTCCCCAACACCATCACACACCTTCACATGGTTTCAAGCACACCAAACAGGACTGAGTGGAACAGGCTTTTAGCACAATGACAGAGAGCAGGCTTGCTGCGGTGCACCACAACACTGAGCACGCTCCTAAATAGTACTGTCCACTGTCCATGGCTGGGAAGGGGTGGGAGGTGACTTTATAACAATGCAAACAGGGAAGCCAAAGGACTATATATTTCAGTGGTTATTTTCATTTTCCTTAATAGTAATAAAAAGAAAAAAAAAATGTGATATGAAAACAGCATGAGAGCATCTGTGTTGAGCTAGCAGGCTTTCAGCAAGGACATGTTAAGAGCATATATTTGTTTTAGGGAACATGAGGTGTGTGATCAGCAACCTCACTGTTGGGGGAGTCCCACAGCAGTCCTGCCCTCGCTTTCTTAGGTCCACAGGACAATGATTTCATTTCCAAGTCTAATAAAATATAAATGGTCTTGTGTTCAGCCAAAAGCTTAATGTATAGAAGATGGAGATTAAGCACTGTGAGGGAATAAAAAAAGGAGCACAACATGCAGTCCTTGGGGGCTCCAGGAGGGTGGGGCTTTGGTGGTGCAAGAGGGGATTTAGCTGAAAAGACGACATAAACCAGCTAAACCAGTTCTCCAGTTAAACCTCTCCTGGGAGCCTCCAGGGGCCGGCCTGAGATGGAAATATGCTCAAGGAGGCATAATGTTTCTGGAAGCTAAAGGCAACTGGCAAACTCTCTTTTCTCTGATTGGATAGGTATGTAAAGAAAGGGCCTAGGGCTGGCAGGTTTGTCTCCTATGTCCTTTATACAGAGGCTGGTGGCCTGCAAGGCCTTGTATATTAGGTAATAACTAGAGCCACAGTGAAGGCCACTTCATGTCTCCTATAAAGGGTACAATCCATTCAGCATTGAAAAACTGCACCCCACTCCCCCAAGGAGCTGCTTGGCCGATCATGAACCTTCTTGTCCACAACCCAGGAAAAAAAAGTGCAAAAAAGAACAAGTCTAGGAACAAATAAGGGAACAAGTCTTGGATTCTACTCAAAAAGTTTTTTTTTTTTTTAAAAAAAAGGCTGACACATAGGAACAAAATAAGAACATTGAGCTCTTTAGTTGTCTATCAGCTGTGCTGTATCAGTTGTCCTGTACTCTAGTGGCATCAGAGACAACAGACAAACCTGATAACAAAAAGCACAGCATACAAATAAACACTGTCCATATAACACCTAATAACACAAGGTAATGATAAAAGCAATGGATGGAGTAGAAATCTACCATGATTTCAGAGAAGCTGGTATTCTCTCACCTTTTCGAAGCTCTTAAGTGTAACTTCATATATAAGATCAGCATTAGGTTCAATACCAAATTTAGGCTTGCCTGCCTCTCCAAAACCATATCTGAAATGGAGAGTGAAAAATTAAACTTTAAAAGAATTGGTCTATTTCCAGGTATTTCCTCTGGCATTTTGAAGTCACATCAGCACAGAGCCATCATTTGCAAGCTACATATATTAGAGACCCTGAAGACAAACCAGATGTTGATCAGAAGATGCAGCACCGAGCATCACTGCTGTGGTTATTTTTTGACACTGGGCTCGATTTAGTTTTCTTTCTCCTCCGTGTTCATAGGCAATGTAACACCTGTACTCCTTGGAACATCTTGCTTAATGTGAATTTAAATGTCATTGCCTTTTTTTCTGCTGGATTTGATATCTACTTTTTTCATATAAAATAACCATTATCGGGCTATTTGGACTTCTTCCCTAGGATTTATCAGCAGGGAGGATGGAGAAGGACACTGCCACTTTAATTGTTATAACAGTTTTTGTTAGAAGTATGTTTTAAAGTGGTGTCACCTTTGGAAGGTACCACTTCTAGTCAGATAAATTGGGGGGGGGGCACTTACACATCAGAGAGAAAATATGTTCTCATAGTATCTCTCCAAGATTTTAAAAAGCACATTAGAAAACACCTTTTAGCCAAAACTTAGGGAATAAAATAACTAGGGATATACAGAGTTGTTTGTTAAGACATTTAACAAATTAAATGCATTCAAGGAGCATATATCACCAGGATGGACGCAGCACTCTGCCCATCTTGTTCCATGGTTTCCCAGCATCCAATGACCGATGAGCAATGACCAGCATATAGTCATGGTCACTGGAATACAGTCTGTTCCCATTCATTCCCAGCCAAACTACTCTTTAATACATGCAATTGTATTAAATAAGACTTGGGACATACATGTCTTGTTTTTTCTCTTTCCCAAACTTTCAGGATATTGGTTGAAAGGTGTCAAAACCAGGCTGATGCCAATGTCTCCAATTTTCTCTGGGGCAAAAAGACTAGAGTGGGGACAAAACACTCATATCTTGTTGCTTGCACAACTTTCTTTACCCCTTGCCTGAATTTTCCAGGAACAGATTGCTTACTCATTCACCTGTACTGTTTGTTACACAAGAAAATGTAAGCTGGAGCCAGAGACGGGCATAGAGATACAATGAGAGCTGGTAGGAATGAGGTGTGGTGGTTTTAATAGCAAGGCAAAGGGTATCTTCAGCAAGGAAATAAAAGAAAGAAGATATAATTACCAGTGGCAACTAGTTTTTACTTTGAGCCCTTAGGTCTATGCATCTCCTATTTTGTTTCTGCCCATTTGGTAAATAAAGAACATTCCTTAACTGTTGGGAATTAAGGTAGACAGATGAGTCCTTATTAAGCATGCATTTACTGAGAACAAGTTATAGCTGGAGCCCAGACAGGTGCCTAAGGCACTTGACTGCTAACCAGAAGGCTGACGGTTCAAACCCACCAGCCTCAGAAGGAAGGTTGGGCAATCTACTTCCATAGCGATACCACCTCAGAAACCCAAGGAGGGGTTCGCTATGAGTTGGGTCCGACTCCATGGCAGTGAGCTGCATTGCATGTTGTGTTAGACCAGTGGTTCTCAACTGGAGTACTCTGCCTCCCATTCCTCCGGGGACATCTGGCAATGTCTAGAGACATTTTTGATTATCATGACAGGCATTTAGTGAGTAGAGGTCAGGGATGCTACTAAACATCCAATAATGCACAGGATAGCCCTATAACAAAGAATCATCTGGCTTAATATGTCAATAAGGAACCTTGGTGACACAATGGTTAAAGCACTAAGCTGCTAGCCAGAAGGTTGGCAGTTCAAACCCACCAGCCACTCCACGGGAGAAAGATGTGGCAGTCTGCTTCTGTAAAGTTTACAGCCTTAGAAAACACTAAGGGGCAGTTCTACTTTGTCCTATAAGGTCGCTATGAGTCAGTATCAACTCAATGGCAGTCACTGTGGTTTTTCTAATATGTCAATAGTGCCAAGGATGAGAAATCCCACCTTAGTGGAATAGTAGCAGAGTGGTAGTGGTGGTGATAGTGGTGACAGTGGTGATGTGGGGGTTAGGTCGAGGGAGATGCCAAAACATCCTGGTTATCAGTGAGATTAAAGAAGACTGCCGAAGGACACTGTTTCTAAAATCTCTCCTGGAAGAGATTCTGTCAAGATGGTACTCAGAGCACATCATTCTGGGGCAGGCAGAAGCTCGCCCCAACTGTTCTGGAAGCATCTAACCCAACTTCTGTATTATACAGAAAGTTGTCTGACTCGTGCTAATCAGCCTGGGCAAGGACCGGGACACAGAAATTCATCTGTCTGGAAAATAAAACACCACAAATGGGATTTTCTAGGACTTAACCAAAAGACAAGCTGGGCTACAGTAACAAAAAGAAATCACTCTGAATGCCCTTGAACTAACAAACAGTTGTCTCCAGAGAGCAGAGACACAATTAATGACTATTAATGACCATTAAGCCTTTAGAAGCACACAGGACGCACTTTACTATAAGTTCTTACCAATTACTTCCATCTTAGAGATGAAGAAACTGAGGCTCAGAGGGAAGTACTTTTCTTGACAGTTACACAAAAAAGGCAGTGGTAGAGCAAGGACTTAAATCCAGAGGCTGTATGTTCCCAGAAAATTGCTGTTTTTTTGACCCATGTTGCCTCATAATTGGGAGCTCTGGCAGCATAGTGCCTAAGGCACTTGACTGCTAACCAGAAGGCTGGCGGTTCAAACCCACCAGCCACTCCTCGGAAGGAAGGTTGGGCAATCCTACTTCCGTAGTGATACTGCCTCGGAAACCCAAGGAGGGGTCGCTATGAGTCAGGGCCGACTCGACGGCAAACAACAACAACATGGCTCTTGGACCCTGTGTTTTTTTGTTTGGGGTCAGTGCAGGGCAGAAATGTAAGGAAAGAGAAAAAAGTGAAAACTAGCCATTACTTTACCTAAAATGAAAAAGATTAATCGGTCACAGTACTTAGAACTATTAAAAGAGAAGATACCATCCTGATGAAGAGTGAGAAAATGGGTTCTCGGTGTTTTCTGCTGCTTTTGGCTATGCTTATGAATTTCTTATAATGAAAACATCCTGCCAAAGAGAATGAGGCTGAGAGATCCATCAGCGTCAGAGAGGCAAAGAGAGTGTGTGCCTTGCAACTCTTTTGGAGAAGGAAATAAAGATGACACTAAGAGTAATACAGAGCCTGTATCTGCAACAGTGGTATTTACAGCCACACTCAGATACAACATTCTACAGTATGTGGGAGTCTGAATAAGACAAGCACATTCACTGCACACACTCAAAACACGCTCAATGTGCAGGGATTTTCTGCATCTGTGCACAAGGTTACACGGTGCTTGTGTGGACAGTTTCCTGTTGCTGAGGAGGCACTTTACATAACTCTTCAACACACTAACCAACATCTTAAACGGAAAGTTAACTTATTCCTTCCCTACTATGCAAAATTATTTTCACAAAACATATGGAAAATTTTTACACCAAGAAACTTACAAACATGGGTTAACTACTTCTATGACTGAAAATTTCCCAAGAAAGATCTGAAAAATCTACTGTATGTTAAAACAGGATTTCCTTTTTCTTGTGGTCTGAGGGAGAATGGAAGAGAAAGATAATATCATCACAGTGATAGCTACTATACTGATGGCTTATATGCACCAGACACTTAAAGCTTCACGAGCTTTGTCTTATCTAGTCCCTCACAACTTTACAAGGTAGATACTGTCACTCCTATCTTACAGAAGGGGAAACTGAGACTCAGCAATTAAATGCCCAAGTACACACTTGGCAAGTTGCATAGCAGAAATTAGCCATGCCATTATCCTCTTTTAAAATCCTTCCAAAATACTCTACATTAAGCTTGCTAAAGGCTTCACTGAGCTTCTTTTTATATAATATCTTCTTTCTCTTTGCCCTATTAGATGTTCCACTCTTATATTCTTCTTTAACCACCAATAAGACAACAATTTAAACTTTCAAGGATCTATCTGCATTCATAAATATAAGGACAATTTAGGAATGGCAGCAGGACAACATCTATTTCTCTCTGCCATTAAACTTGAGGCATCTGCCCCCACGGTCGCCTTGTCAGCTAGGTTAAAACGTAATGACTTGATTCATATAATATTTATATACTCACAACGTATTCAGGACTTACCTTTAAGGAGCTAAACTATGAAAACATATATTAAACATACAAATACCACACTCTTTATATGAGTTTAGAACTAGTATAATTTTGGAATGCTAGATTCAAGATAATTAAAGATTACTTGGATATGGAGGAGATAGCTTTCTTGATGCTCTACTTGGGGGGAAAAATATTCCTTATATAAAGAAGTTCAACTAATTGTAAACTTCAATGGATTGGATTGAACATAAATAAGACACACTTAAGTAGAGAATTTAAGTGTGGAAAATAGACTAGGGCAGAGAAAAAGAAGATGTTATATAAAAGGTGGCTCAGTGAAGGCTTTAGGAAGTTCAAGGCATTTTGGAAGGAGTTTAAAGAGGGTAATGGCATGGTTAAAATATCACTTGAGATGTATGACCTTGGCTCTAGTGTAAGGCACTGGATTACTACAAAGGCTATTCAAAGAGAAAAAGGCTGTATAAAAGACATGATACTACCTACTAGCAGGTACAGGTCATCAAGATTCCCAGTAACTCAAAATCCTGTCTAAACTCCATCGTGGAGCCAAGGGGAGGAAACAGCAGATAAGATGATGAACTTCCATGCAAACAGAACCAAAACATCCTGCTCTTTCTCCAAGGTGCATTTCTCAAGATAGAAGGGTTGGATTCATGGTATAATTTCAGATCTAAAAATAATACCAAACATGTTTTCATAAGAGAGACGGTCAGGGTCTGATAGTTCTAAGCTTGGACGTGCTAATGGATATCCTTCTGATGAGGAAAATTTAGGCACAAATGAGTCACTTCAGCTGCCTTTTAATCCAAGAAGAACATATTTCTTTTAGAGACTTTGTTTAAGAACAAATGGCACAAATTCAAGTGGCAGTAAATCATCCAAATGCTTCTTCTATTCCCAACCCCCACATGTTTTACTGCCCCCTGCCTAATTTACAGAAAAAGGAAGAGAAGGCCAGAGAACCACATGAGAAGAGCCAATAGCCACCTGTCTTGGCAATATGGAAGGCAAAACAAACAAAAAAGCAAAACTCGCCTGTCAATCTCACTCTTAACAGACATCAGTCATGTAAACATGCTCACAATTTGCAACCTCTGTGATTTTAAGGCCTATTAATTCACTTGATGACTAACTGTAGCCTGATTGAATTAATTGTTTTCACACTAGCATTAACTTCACTGGAAACACTGAATGCTGAAAATGTGACTTCTGCAGATGACTTTGCTGTGTACTGAACTGGTATGCTGCTTACCGTGGTCCAAGATATAAAATGCACTGTTCTTCCCGCTGCATTTTCTCCAGGGCTTTGTCAATTCCAATTGGAATGTCGTGGTCTTCTCCTTCGCCAACAATGAATACCACATCTCTGCAATCAAACAGCTGTCCACCACAGTGGCCTACCAGGTGGACTGAAGGAGAGGGGACAGGACAGTCAACAAAGCTATTCCTCAGGATTGGCTAAGTCTGTGAAGTGATAAATGAGTGGCTACCAATGTAGCAAATAGCATTTCCCCTTTCTCATTTCACAAAGAGACATGCTTGGTATGTCTTGTTGAAGCTTTAGTGCGCCCAGTTCTGGAAGTTTAAGAATAACCATATTTCTTTGTGTTTTGAGTACAGACTTACAATTATTGATAACTATTATCAATAAGATAGCTCAGTGGGTAATGAAACAAATCTAAGCCTCAACCAAATCAAACTCACTGCCATCAAGTCAATTCCAACTCATAGCAACGCCCTTTGGGTTTCCGAGGTGGTAAATCTTCATGGAAGTAGGTTGCCCAGTCTTCCTTTTGAGGAGTGGCTGGTGGGTTTGCACCGCCAGCCTTCTGGTTAGCAGTCAAATGCCTTAGGCAC